TAAAGAAAAGCATATAACAGGCGAGTTGTGAGTTTAAGTTGGATTGGGCGTCTTCTGGGAACTACAACCCAGGACACAGCTCCTCCTTTGGCTCTGAGGAAACTGCTTGGAGGAGGTAGCAGAGAAGTCAGTATGATTGTTGCCTAGGAAGTACATGCAGTCAGGCCTGCGTATTAGTAAAAGATTGCTGTGAAACACAGAGATCAGATGTCACAAGTTCATTATTTTCATGCTTTTCTGTGTGTGGAAGATGCAAGAATCTAGGGTCACTGAAACTTTTCCTGAGGTATCGGTAAATAAATAAAGGCAAACTTGTCCAAAGCACAGTGTGCCTCATACTGTTTTTCACCCTAAAACCTTCAGAGTGCACTTTAGATCAGCAACCAGAGTGGTTACAACTTAACACTTGTAGAACTGGCTGTGAGTAATGCTGTTTGTCTTAAGGATCTGAATTTACCTGAGGCCAGATGTTCAAGGTGGATTTAGAAAAGGCAGAGGAACCAGAGATCAAATTGCCAACATCCTTTGGATCATAGAAAAAGCAAAAGAGTTCCAGAAAAACATTTCCTTCTGCTTTAATGACTATGCCAAAGAGTTTGTGTGGATGACAAGAAACTGTGGAAAATTCTGAAAGAGGTGGCAATACCAGATCACATGATGTGCCTCTTAACAAATGTGTTTGCAGGTCAGGAAGCAATAACCAGAACTGGACATGGAACAACCGACTGGTTCCCAATAGGAAAAGGGGTAACTCAAGGCTGTATACTGTCACCCTGCTTATTTAACTTAGATACAGAGTACATCATGAGACACGCTGGGCTAGATGAAGCACAAGCTGGAATCAAGATTGCCAAGAGAAATATCAATAAACTCAGATATGCAGGTGACACCACCCTTATGGGAGAAAGCGAAGAAGAACTAAAGGGTCCTCTGAAAAAAGTGAAAGAGGAGAGTGAAAAAGTTGGCTTAAAACTCAACATCCATAAAACTAAGATCATGGTATCTGGTCCCATCACTTCATGGCAACTAGATGGGGAAACAGTGACAGATTTTATTTTGGGGGGCTCCAAAATCACTGCAGGTGGTGACTGCAGCCATGAAATTAAAAGACGCTTGCTCCTTTGAAGAAAAATTAGGATCAACCTAGACAGCGTATAAAAAGCAGAGACAATACTTTGCCAGCAAAGGTCCATCTAGTCAAGGCTATCTTTTTCCCAGTATTCATTTACGGATGTGAGAGCTGGACTATAAAGAAAGCTGAGTGCCGAAGATTTGATGCTTTCAAACTGTGGTGTTGGAGAAGACTCTTGAGAGTCACTTGGACTGCAAGGAGATCCAACCAGTCCATCCTAAAGGAAATCAGTCCTGAATATTCATTGGAAGGACTGATGCTGAAACTGAAACTCCAATACTTTGGCCACCTGATGGGAAAAAATGACTCATTTGAAAAGACCCTTATGCTGGGAAAGACTGAAGGCGGGAGGAGACGGGGACAACAGAGGATGAGATGGTTGGATGGCATCACCGACTCAATGGACATGAGTTTGAGTAAACTCTGGGAGTTGGCGATGGACAGGTACACCTGGAATGCTGCAGTCCATGGGCTCTCAGAGAGTCAGACACGACTGAATGACTGAACTGAACTGAGAGTTGGAATTGTCTAAGATGGTTAGGGTGTGTGTCCTCAGGTGTGACGTATTTGAGCTATTTAGGGTTGCTGTCCAGGATGAGTGGTCTCTGAACTGCTCGTGGATCTCTGTCCCAGGCATGAAGTCTCTGAAATATTTGGGAGGGTTTTGTCCAGAGGGTTGGGTCTCTGAGCTGTTCATGTATCTGCATATGTGAGTAGTCTTAAGAGGAAGGCTGGATGGACCCCAATCTCATGGGTCGTAGAAGTAGACCTGTGATAACACATTTGCTATGATTTCTACCATGCCTCCCTACAGAGATAAAATCTTGTGGCCCTATCCTCAGGGAGGGCAAGTCATGTGCAGTACACAGGAGCCCACGGTAACAATACTGAGAAGAAAAATACTTCCTGACAAGACTACCACCCTTGATAGGGGCCCTGTGAAAAAACTGTGTACGCACACTCAGTCAGACAATCTGCCCAACCCATAACAAAGAGGCCACCATTTTCAGATGGGAGCCCAAGGCCCAGTACAAATGGAAGGTCTCGGCTCATGACGACAGGAGGGACTGGATGCAGGCTTGGGCTCTTTGGAGGAGGCAGGGAAGACTCAGCAGAACCCTGGCCATGTAGTGGGGGAGGGGGGCATTGGCACAGGGCTACAAGGACCCTATGACTGTCTCACTGTCAGGATACGTCTCTGTGTCTCCCCATCATACACCCAGCTGCTCTCCTGATGTATCGAATGTAATCTTCACATTCCTTGGGGACGTGGTGGTGCAAAATACAGAGGTGAGACTCCAAGCAGGTGGGAAGAAACCTCACATTCACCAATTTGCATGAGGCTCCACCACAAATGCAGCAATCCCTGCCTCTCTTTCCCCCACTAAAGCACTCATTGGCACTGAGGTCAGCAGGAGGGCAGTCGGGGCTGGACAGCTTGTGAGGGACCCTGTGTACAGCATGAGCCTCCCCATGACTGGATCATCTCCATGTCTGGATCAGGGCAGTGGACCCTGATGTGTGCCAAGGGAGCATGATTCAGACCCAGGCCATGGGCTACTGAGTCATTTCCTAGAGAGAGTCTCTGGTGGGGGGCGGGGTGGGGCGGGGAGGGGGAGCAGCTTCTTCTCTCCTGTAGAGATAGGTACCTCATCCAGTAGCAGGGCTGGGGGCCCATAGGTGGGTGCTAATTGGGGATGCTTTGCTGCCAGAGATAGTCTCTCTGTCCCTGTCCAATGTTCTATCTTTGTCTTTCTCCCTGCCATCTCTGTGCCTGTTACATCCTCCCTCTTAGCCTTTATGAGACTGACTGTGACCTCCCTCATACCGTGAGGGTCCTTCCTCTGTCCTGAGGGTATCATCGATCAACATGGATGTCCACTGGGAGCAGTAGAAGGGATTCCCCTTGATGCCAGGATTCCAGGGATTCCAGGAAAGGCATGTTCAACTGCAGAGGGTCTGTGGTTTTCCTGGGATCAATCTAGAGCTCCTCAACAATCACTGTGTGATCTGGGCCTCTGAAAGAACCCTGGGGGCTTCTCTGGTAAGAACCCTCCTGTGGCTCAAGTCAAATTCGTCCCTATGGACAGAAGGCCCTAGGGGACCCGCCCCTCATCACCGCTCTCATCGGATCTCCTGGCTCTCCCTCCCTCATGCTGTGACAGTCACATAGCCCTCCACATTCTTTTCATACACACTCCACTCAGTTCCACTCCCCAGTTTTTACACTGGCCTTAACTCTGTCTGGGACACTTTTCTCCCAGACAGGCATCTCCTCTAGGCTTTTGCTCAAATGTCACACTCTTAGAAGGAACCTCCCTGGCCACTCTTTCTAGATATCATCCCCTCTCTCTATTTCACTATCCCGGTTTAATGTTAATCACAGCAGTTATGAACACCTGATAAATTACTTATCTTTTGGGGCTGTATGACCCCAATACAATGTAAGTTCCATGAAGCCAAGGTTGATTTTCTCTTTCCTGACACACATAGTTGTGCTTGACAGAAACTGTGGAGGAGATGAATGAATGTAGGAATGAATAAGCAAATTTAATCTTGTTGACAGAGGCAGAGCTAGACAGGCTGAGGATTCTGCTAGGGAACATATTCAGGGATGACAAGATGGTGACAAAGCCATGGTCTTTAATTCACCTATGCAGTATCCTTGGGTCCCCTCGGAGTTGACCCCTTTCCTAATAGAATGGAAAGCCCTGTTGTCCTTCTCACATATTACTCGCAGTTAACGACAGAGGCCTTCCCCACTCCAGGCCTTCAGATCCCAGTCCGAAGCTTTCTCTCCCCGGCCCGCTGGGGGACTGTGGCTGGCTTACCCCATTGAGATCTATTCTGTATTAAACAGCAAAGCACAAACAAGAACAATGCCTAGCACACAGAAAATGCTTTCCATGCTTCCTGTTATGATAGTGGCCACTACAGATAAGTAATCTTCAGTTTATACAGACTTTTTCTGAGTCGAAGATCTGTGGGGTTTTCATTCTCACGTTGCCTTTCCACCCTTGGAGGATCATCCATCCTCTAACGGTCCACCGGCATCTACATCGGCTGTTCCCCAGTCTCACCACCAAGGGGCGCGCCACATGAAACAGTTCGGTCCTGGGATGTACCACGCAGAGGTAGCAGTAAGACCACCCACTCTGGAAGGTACCATTCGAGAGCGCGTATGACTACACAGAGAGTACCTTTACACGGCGTCGGGCATCCACCAGAGTTCCTAGCGGAGGCAGCCATGGCACCACTGGTTCCTTCCCTATTCGCTCCATTCCGGCTTCCCGCTGCATCTGAGTCCAAATGGACAGCGGTATTAAGCTGCAGCTGTCCTCGTCTCTTTTCCAATTCCACCCCTTCGTTTCTACATGGTTACATCCAAGGGGGTCGGCTACGGAGCGAGTTGCGCGGCCAGTTTGGGGGTTCGGCGTCAGGAAGCGTTCTGGGCATTGATTGGTCACCGCGAGATCGCCAGAATTAGCTCTTCCGGGGCGCGAATAGGCGACGGAAGTCCCGCGAGTCCCGCCCTGCTTCGTCTCTTGCCCAGTTCCAGTTGGCTGGCTGGCTTTTATAGGCACTGGGATGGCAGAGCTGGACCTGAGGACGAGAGGCAAGTTGCCGTTCGCGGCTTTTTAGAGGATAGTTTTTCTCCGAGTTTTATTGCTTTTCCCGAAGGGGTCGAATAGCTGGCCTGGTTAGTGGCGAGGTTTGGCGCAGTCGCTGGCTGTGCATGGTCACGCCGTTTCGGTCTTGTTGAGCTCTCGCTCAGTCTGGATTGTGTGGCAGCGCACGGATATTCGCACAAATGCATGCAATTCATGTCCAGGGAGAGGTCTCTGAGTTAGCTGTCTCTCCCTGGAGACTAACCTGTGTCAGGGAGCGTGGGCTTGTGTATCGCTGCGTGTGACAACACAGGTGCTGTTTGGGAACATTTGATCTCCTTGAGCCTTTGTGCGGAGTCGTGAGTGATGGGATATTTGATCTGAGTGGATTTTGTGAGCCATACTACAAAGCCCCTAGGATGTGTGTACCTGTATTCGGGGCTGTGCATTTTTGGAGCTTTCTGGCCCTTCAGTCCCTGGGTGTGAGATCTCTTTGTAAGCATGTGCACCTGAGATTGTGAGACCTCTTGAGTTCTTGATTCTGGTCCCAAGTTGTGATGTCTCTGAGCTGCTTTAAGGATGGGTTTGTCTAAAGGTGTGAAATAGCTGCTTGGGGATCTGTGCACAGGGTGCAGGTTTTCCATTTGTCTGGGCATTTTATCTAAAGGTTATATGATGTTCTTGAGTTATTAAAGGTTCTGTCTTTCCGTTTAGGGTTTTTGTATTAAGTTGGCAAGTGTCCGAGGGATTTCGGACTCATTCTCCATGGTGTGAAGTATCTGTGCAGTTCTCATTTGTTTCTTTCTTGAAGACTTTGGTCTGTTTGGAGGGTCTTTGTCACAGCGTGTATGGTTAGCGTCTCGGATGTGTTTGAGGGTCTGAGACGAGTTCTGTGCTCTCTGTGCAGAGATTCAGTGAGCTCTTTTTGGTGTCTCTGGGTATCTATCTGGGCTGTCTGGAGTCTCTGTGTGAGAAATAAAACCTCTTATGTTCTTGGCTGTGAGGTCTCTGTCCGGGAACTGAGGGTTTGGAAGCTGGCAGATATGATTCTGAGGCCTGGAACCTGACATGCTGACTGTGTGTTGTTGAGTGTATCATTTGTCTCCTGGAATCTCAGGTTGTTCATAAATTATTACAGTGGGGCCAGTGTGTGTCTTGCCGGGTACCTGTGCATGTTAGCGATGTGTGTTGCCTGGCTCCCGACCATCCTTCAGCAAATGTTTTCTGAGCACCTGCCATAGACCTGAGCACTGTTGGAGGAGTTTGTGACAGGACAGAACTGACCAAGTCTCTCCTTTGATAGACTTGGTGGTCAGTAACTAAATCAAGGGTGGCGGGTACTATGAAGAAAGATAATGCTAGATCAGGGGAAAGGGTGTATGTAGGTATGATGTTATTATTTTATTCAAGGTAAGGAGGGAAAGTCTCCCTGAAAGATGGCAAGTAAGCAGAGATCTGGAGGAAGTGAGGGAGCAGGCCGTGGGGTTACCTACGGGAAGAGCAGTGCAGGCAGAAGGAACAACAGATGCAACTGTCCTGGCCTGGAAATCTGCTTGGCGCGCTCCTGAATGTCAAGGAGTCCTGCGATGCGCTGGGTTTGGCACGTAGCCCTCATCGAGAGGGGTCTGGTTGCTGCTGTCTCTGTTTCTCCCACAATTTGTGATCATCTGCATTTCACAGATGAAGGACTGAAGGCTCCAAGGTGTTCCCTGCACCTTCTCTCCTACCTATCCCTGAAATTAGGAGTGAAACCTTCTGGTCCATCATGAGAGGGACAGAGAGAGTTTGAGTGTCCCAGCTGCAGGGATGTCATGCTGAATGTCAGCCAAGCAGCAGAGATCAGTTATAATGTGGGAATCATGTCTCGTAACATTGGTACTCTTGATGGAGGGCAGGACTTAAGAAGGAAACAGGAACTGGGGCAAAGGACAGAGGCAGGAAGGGAAGTTGGAGGACAATGAGGGGGAAAAAAAAAACGACTGGCTTCATCACATTGCTTGGGTTTGGCCCAGTTCACGGTGATTGGCTGAGTGTATTAGGACATACTCACCTTTTTCTGTCCCTACCCTTTCTTTCCCTTCTCTTTTTTGTGCCTGAGCAAGTCAGTCCTAAAGCCGTTAGGTGTCGCCAGGTAAGGCATGTGTATGTGTAAGGGGGCATCCCTGCCTGGAGAGCCAGAGCCCAAGGTGGAAAGAAGGCTATCCCTCTGGATTGGGTGGGAAGGAGGCTAACTGCTTCATGGATTCAAGCTTGAGTGAGGTGTGGAAGTCAAGGGCAAGGGATGGTTCTGCATACATTGTGAGGAGGACCCTTTTGTGGAGGAGGGATCACTTACATGCACTGGGATTCATCAACTCAGCAAATACATAAAAATGCTGAGAGCCACGTCTGTCATTTTTGGAAAAGGGAATTTCCAGTATGGAAAGGAAGTAAACTAGAACAAATCTAAGGAATTCTACTGGGATTAAAGGTCTCCATGCAAACGTCTTGTATTCGATAGGTGTGCATATGTGGCTAGACTGATATGTAACTATAGATGTGTGTCTATGTGTTTGTGTGTGTGATTGTGCACACACACATATATTCCCAAGTTACTGGAAACAGCAACATTCCAACGGCAATAATTACACCAGTCCCCAGATCCTAGCTCCTGAACCCCTTTCTCCACTAAATGATGGGTTCCCAGGCTGAGGAAGGAAAGGGTAAATGAGCCTGGTTCACCTTGTCATGTCAGCAACAAGGGAAAGTTCAAGAATGATGTGAAGATGTCAGAGGGACACAGAATATAGCTTGAGGGCTCTCCTGGACACATTCAGGGCTCTCTTATTTTTTCCACCTTGTTTGAGGTATTATTGACATATAACCTGTAAGTTTAAGATGCCAATGTGATGATTTGATATACACATATTTGGCAAAATGATTACCACAGCAGGGTTGGCATTCTATCCCCTCACATAATCCTTTTTAAAAATTGTTGAGGAAATAACGTCTCAGATCTACCCTCGTAGCTTTCACTGTATTATACAGTTTTGTTAATTATACTCACCATGCTATTCACTGTATCCACGCAACCTATTCATGTCATACCTGGAAGTTTGTACCCTGTATTCAACATTTTGCGCAGTCCCTGGAAACCACCATTCTAAACTCTTAGCAATTTCTGTAAGTTTGACTTTTTTAGGTTCTGCATATAAGTGAGAACATACAATATATGTCTTTCTCTCTTTCACTTTTTACTTAGCATAAAGACTTTGAAGTCCATTCATGTTGTTGCAAAAGGCAGAATATTCTTCCTTTGACTGAATAATATTCCATTGTATATACTGCCAGATTTTCTCTTTTAAAATTAATTTATTTTAATTGGAGGATAATTCCATTAAAATATTGTGATGTTTTTGTTATATATCAACATGAATTGGTCATAGGAATTCACGTGTGCCCCCATCCTGAACCCCCCTCCCACCTCCCTCCCCACTCCATCCGTCTCGGTTTGCCCCGAGTACCGGCTGTGAGTGCCCTGCTTCATGCATAGAGCTTCACACTGTCTCCTTTGCTGCCCTGCATGTAGGGTCATTGGTACCGTCTTTTCTAAATTCCATATATAAGCGTTAATATACAGTATTTCTCTTTGTCTTTCTGACTTACTTCACTCTGTGTCATAGGCTCTGGGTTCATCCACCTCATTAGAATTAACTCAAGTGCGTTCCTTTTTATAGTTGAGTAATATTGCATTGTATATGTACCAAACAACGTCCTTATCCGTTTGTGTGCCAGTGGACATCTAGGTTGCGTGCATGTCCTGGCTATTGTAAACAGTGCTGCGGTGAACATTGGGGTCCATGTGTCTGTTTCACTTCTGGTTTCCACAGGGTGTATGCTCAGCAGTGGGATTGCTGGGTCACATGGCAGGTCTATTCCCAGTTTTTAAAGGAATCCCACACTGTTCTCTATAGTGGCTATACCAGTTTGCATTCCCACCCACTGTGTAAGAGGGTTCCCCTTCCTCCACACCCTATCCAGCATTTGTTGTTTGTAGACTTTTTGATGGTGGCCACTCTGACTTTTCTCACCACGTTTTCTATATCTATTCATCCCTTCATAGACACATAGTTGCTTACAACTTCTGGTTGAAGCTGCAAAGTAAATTTCAGGTTAATATTACTCTTCCAATGTTGTATTTCAGAATCATTTGGCTATTCTAGTCCATCTGCCTTACCACAGAAATTTTATCATCAATTACTCTCTGTGTACGAAAAAGTCCTGCTGGAATTTCTGACTGGAATTGTATGAAATTGATGGATGTGTGTGGGGCCTACTGACATCCTAATTATATTGAAGTTCTCAACCCCTGATCACACCATGTGCCCCCATTTTGTTATGTCTTTCCACATTGCATTACCTTTTCTGCCATTGTTTTATCAAATCTGTTTCTCATATATCAATTTCTGAAGATCTGTATCTGATGAAGATATGAAAATATTAGTAGTCAGACGTTCATCAGTAATGCTTTTTTCTTCTGTAGTTTTTACATTGCCCGGTTATTGTGTTTCTTACTTTTTCTGCTAATGTTCATGATTGTTTAATCCAAGGGTGATGGTATGGGTATTTTCTGGGGTAAGTCGTGAGATGTTCAGCTGTGTTTTGGGATGGAGAGTCTGAGGACAGGGGCACGGGGGAGAGAGAGCAGAGTAGGGGTGGGGGAGGTGAACGTGTGGGGGCAGGGACGGGGGCTGCTAGTACAAGCGGAAAGAGAAGTGAAGACACAAGAAGAAGAGCTCGCCTTCTGCACTGTGCTGAGCTCTCCGTACATATACGCATAATGAAGTCTTTGAGTACTCATAGCAACACTGTGAGGTAAGCATCTGTAATGCTATCATCCCTTTCGTCAGCTGAGGAGCAGAGACACGTAGATGTTAATGGGTGAATGACTCTGCACAAAGTCACCTAGCTGGCAAGAGCTGAGTCAGATTGGTGCCCAGGCCAGAGAGAAACAAACAGGTGTGGGATCTGACCCCCAATCTGGAATACAGTGCAGTGTCTGATGTACTCTGGGTCAAAAGGCAGATCAACATGTCCATCCGCATGAAACGTTACTATGGATCTGTGTATGGATTGGACACAGTTTCTCCTAAGTGCGTGAAAGACCATGCGGTGTCATGTCAGCATGCACACATCACAGAGAACAGTTCCTGGTTGATACCGAGGTCTAAACAGTGTTTCCTCTGACCAACATTAGTGGAGCACCCTCATCATTATGGAAAGTAGCATAGCCATAGTATGATATAATGATACACAGACAGAGCAACAGATACAATATCATGAAGACATTACCTCCCCCATCTCATAATTTTCTTAAATGCAGAGAACAAACCTGGAAGGCAATAGACCACATACTAAGTTTTTTTCTCTTAAGTGTGACATTCTAGATGATTTTCAAATAACATTTTATTAGTATTGTAATTTGTTGTATCTTCATTGTTACATAGGCAGTTTTTCTATTATAATTGAAAAATGGACTTTCTGAAGACTCGTTCTCAGGTGTCTTGAGGTTTCAGCATAAAAAAGTTGTGTTGGTATCCCTGCCAAGTGAAAACTCAGTTGGCTCACTGAAGTTAGAAGTGATGTCTTTGGTACAGTAGGTGGGGGGCTGTGGGGA